CAGCATTCACTATTGCTTTTAATTACACACAAACATGCCAGGGCATCCGCTTTATTAATTAATACAAGCTCAGTCTGTAGCACTGCAATAATGGCTTTGTAATGAAAATATTGCTACAGCCTGGGAAAAGAGCTGTTTGCTTTACTGAAGTGCTTTCTTTACACTACTGAATCAAACCGCACCTGGCTGACCCTGCTGTGTCTCTGGAGGACTCTGTAGTGTGCAGGGAAAAGACTCTCTGGCTGAGGAGGACAATAAGGACTGCTGCCTAATTTAACTCACATGCAAGTAGGTGTTGCAATTTTCAGCATTGCCACAAGGGGCGCTCTAGCGAACATTAGCATAAACTGTCTTCTTCTACAGTAAGTTTTCTCTATCAGGTCACCTACTGTCAGGGCTAAGCACCAGTTTGAAGACAATCGCTCTGAGGAAGTTAGCTGAAGTCAATATGTTTATAGTTAGCTACCTGGTTAATTATTAATAATAACAAATCCATTTGACATTTGAAGGTAAATCTTTTGCCCCATTGAGTACTGAGGCTTGTTAGCAACACAAGAACAAATATTAAAGGTAGGGTAGGCAATTTTCGGAGCGGCTAGTACAAGCTAAATAACAATAATTAAGCATAACAAAAAATGTTTCTGGAACAAATCACCTACCCTGCTATCGGTTATTAGCTCATATTAGAGATTTTTTAAATGTACAAATACCAGCTGGTATTTGATATATTTCTATCATTATAGGATATTTAATTTTATAAAATTAAATTGTACTATTTTTTACCTCCAAATTTTCTTTGCCATAATCAAACGCTCACTTAAATTTATTTGTAATCTAAATCAAATCTCAAAATATCCATTTTTTATACTGTACTATATTTTGTATACTGTATTATAAATAATGTTGTCATGCCTTTAATTGTTTATGTTTATTTCATTTCTTTATGGTGAAATATTATGGTATATCATATTGGTATATAATTTAATTGATAGTTTAGTTATCAATCATCAGACATAAAATAACTATACATTTCAGTGCATTCCTAATATCAAGTATGTTCAGTGACTCACAATCGATTCTAACATTATATTCATAACATTGATTCATTAAATTAGCATCTCACAAAGCCTACAATGTGATACTCTAATAAGCATAAAAATAAACAGCAAACACACATACAGTACGGTCCATTTTACTTGTACTAAATAATTTTTTTCAATACTTTTCAAAATTGAATAAATTGTAAGCATAGGCTCCCATTAACAAAATATTGCTTGCCTTCTTGAATGAATTTTGTTACAGAGCTTCTTGAAATGCATTCTGGGATCGCCTTCTCCCTGAAGAGAGAAGAGTCTTAAATTCTGGATAAAACAAGGTCAAAAGCACGCCTACAATGTGTCTAGGTAGGCAGCTGGATTTTGGAACAGGTCATTTCATTCCCAGTACAGCACCCGTCTCAGACTGCTAGACAGATCACAGCTTTCTTTTCCCAGAGGAACGGTCTAAATAGGTATGTGTGAAAAACGAAAGGCAAAGGAGCGTCTAAGGCTGTCACTATGGAGACCAGGAGGCAGTGAGGTATACAGCGGCCTCTTTTAAAGATGCTAAAGGTAAAGCCTTTTACTCCAAAATAGAAGTTCAACATCAAAACTTCTGTTGGCACTTCAGACAGTTACTTCACAGCACAGAGATGGGATAATACAGACCCATCTTCAGTGTTCTGGCTGAGGGAAGGAGGTTCTCGTCCAAGATTTGATGGTACATGGCCCCGTCCATAGCCCCCTAAATACAGTGAAGTCGTCCTATACCCTTATCAGAGAAACAGTCCAAAAGGATGATGTTTCCACCTCCGTGCTTGACTGTAGGGATGGTGTTCTTGGGGTCATAGTCAGCATTTCTCTCCCTCCAAACACGGCGAGTTGAGTTGATGCCAAAGAGCTCAATTTTGGTCTCATCTGACCACATCCGTTTCTCTCAAGCCTTTTCTGAATTATTAGATGTTTATTGGCAAACTTCAGATGGGCTTGAACATGTGCCTTCTTGAGCAGGGGGACCTTGCGGGCGCTGCAGGATTTCAATCCATTGCGGCGTAGTGTGTTACCAATGGTTTGCTTGGTGACTGTGGTCCCAACTGCCTTGAGCTCATTAACAAGCTCCTCCCGTGTAGTTCTGGGCTGATCCCTCACCTTTCTCATGATCATCCTTACCCCATGAATCGAGATCTTGCATGGAGCTACAGATCGAGGGCGATTCATTTTCATTTTGTATTTCTTCCATTTCCGAATAATCACACCAACAAAAGTCTCCTTCTGACCAAGCTTCTTGCTGATGGTCTTGTAGCCCATTCCAGCATTGTGAAGGTCTACAATTTGGTCCCTGACGTTTGTCAGCTCTTTGGTATTGCCCATGGTGGTGGAGAAATTGGAATGGAAGATACAGATTCTGTGGACAGGTGTCCACTGACATTAGGACATTAGGAGTACTTTCTTAAAGTGACAGGACTAATCTGTGTTCCACATGGACAAATAAGCAATCTGTGGGACACAGAATTCTTGTTGGTTGGTAGGGGATCAAATACTTGAGATTTCACTCGATTAAATATTATTCTGTCTCTATCCGTTAAAATAAACCTACCATAAAAATGATAGACCCTTAATTTCGTTGTAAGTGGGCAAACTTACGAAATCAGCAGGGGATCAAATAATTATTTTCACCACTGTATATACAGTATTATATACATACATACAGGGGTTAAAGTGGGCCGGAACGGTCCGGAACTGCGTTCCGGCACCTCAGATAAATTAACAAATAAATAAATAAATAGATTCATTAATCTCAACGAATCTCGCTGGTCCCGAGCTGGGCCGACCGACCGACCAACCTCCCTTCCTCCCCGCTGAACGCAAGCGATTACAAATGTGTGAAATGCACTCACGGTGGTTGAGCGCGGTAAAGTTAGTTTTAGGTTCGATATATTTCGCCTGACATTTGTTTTCCCTAGCCACTGTTCGGGTCTTACAAAGATATCAATAGCAGGATTAGTTTTAACATTATGTAACCATTGTATATCGATGAAATATGAAATATTCGTTCAAAATCACCTACGTGCTGCATATTTTGCTATACCTGAGAATGCTTTGACGTGTTTGCACAGCGCATGATGAGGGAACGTCTGCCAATTCCACCAACTGCGTTAAACTTTTGTTTAATTAATTTGTATTATTTAAAATTACTTTTCAAATTCCAAAGCGTGTAGAAGGTTCCTATTGGGGGGCATGCTCCCCCGAGAATTTTTTTTATTTCTCTGACCTACAAATGTGCAATTTAAGACTTTTGAAGGCCCAAAAAATGGATAATAAATAGCTTTAAAACCATGTCATTAGATTATTTTGTCAATACCTTCTCTCTCCTCATCTTTCTTTTTCTCTCAGTCTCCTTATCCTGGCCTATTTCTTCCCCTCCTAAAGCTGAACTTTGACTGATAGTCTTTTCATTTTCGTCTGTGTCAAGAAAGTAAACATAGGCTTAACTGCTATTTATATGTTTTATGAATCATTTTCTTAAACAAGTTAATTTACTGCAAGCAGTATGTAAACTTTTGACCACAACTGTATACAGTAGTGGCTTAAAAGTGATGTCCCCGGCCTAGGAAAATTAACATCTTTACTTATTCAAATATTAAATCAAAATTTGTTAAAGATTTTGTAAGCATATTGTATAGTTGTACTTGGAGTCAATTATTTTATTTGTGAAAATGCAATGAAACATGCCAAATTTTGCTGATTTAATTTGGGCAAGGCTGTCATAAAAATAAATATGAACACATGCAAAAACAAGAGAGAACCAACGAAATATTAATAAATGATTATGTTGTAGTCAATGTATGCTTTTTCCTGTGAGTTTTGTTTTTCTATGCAGTGTTTTTTGCACCGTAAAATAAAACCTTTTGCCTTTTTTGGCCAAATAATTTTGTCTCATAAATACTTCAAACTTGTTTAATGATTTGTTCATCCCTTATATTTGTATCATAATCATAAAATTGATAAGCTCTATCACCCAGTTCTATTCATCAAAGCAGAAATGGCTTATTTCTCAGGGATTTAGATGAAGTGCTTCTAAGAATGAGGGCAAGTCAACACAGCTCATGGCAGGTATTTGATTACAGAGGGTGTGTAAATATCACGTCTGACAGTGAAAAACCACAGCCTTGAGCCACGTGACCTCAAAACCTATTCAAAAGCAAATTTACAAAAGTAAATCTATTTGTGTCGCATAAATATTTTATGTATCAATCTGTCCTTCGTTGGTAACTAGTATTAGATCGACATTGGCATATTTGCCAATATTTAAAGTTGACGCATGTAATTTGCCAGGTAATTACCAAACAGAATTGCAAACACAATGACTGTTTTCAAATAGTTTTCCCGAACACTTCTTCCATCTGACATTAGTCAGATTGAGTGTTTTGATACATTTTTAAAGGATTCATCCTATGAATGTCTTCTAGTTGTCTGCATATTAAACTGGGACACAAGGAAGTTTTTTAACAATTACATTCAGCTTTAAAGATGAACATGTTGTTGACATTGAGTTAATAATCTAAAGTCAATAATTCCAGCTCCTATTCGTCTTGACAAACACATGGATACCTCGACTACCTAATAGAGAGCTTTTCTGCAAGACTGGCATTCTTCCTATCAGCTGATGAAAAACAAAGCACAGCGTTTCCCGACTAACAATAAACAGCAGCATTTCCTGCGGTCACCTCATGATTTCACTGTCCCATTAAGGCCCTCTCACATGATTCCTGTAAACCAGAAAGCTTAAGATAACAAAAGCACACAGAGCTTCAATTCTGGAAAATTGTTAAAAAAATTCCCAGAGAGCCTTCAGTATGAACGCATGCCATGCTCAGGGCATGTCCGATTGTGTGAGAGTCCTTCAACAGCACAGGTTAAATGATGAGGCTTGTGTGGTGTGAAGAAGGAAATGTCACATACCGTGGTCACTTTCTCCAGGTCAGCTTCAGAGGAGGTGGGAGAGAGTGGGCTGCTGGGACTGAAGGAGGGAGAGCTGCCGGCACTGGACGCGTACTCCGGATCAGGAACATACAGAACCTGCAAAGACAACCGCAGCGTAACGCTTTATAAACACCAGCCAGCAACTGCATGCATGGACAAACAAATCAATACTCACATACAGGCTGGTCAACATATGTAAATGAGGACATACTGTATCATAGACCTCTAGTGTTTTGTAAGAAGATAATAATGACTAATGTACAACTAACCTGAAAATAAAAGCGTTTGCATTTTTATACTTTATTTTTTAAAATGTATTACGGTTACATCAGAATAATTTTATGGATGGATGCTAAATATTGCTACGTTTGTAAAATTTGAAGCTGAAAAATAACAAATCTGTTCTGAATCTGTCATATTAAATAAATGCATTAATGGCATCACTATGGAAGCTTGTTTCCACCACAGAACAAAAAATAAAAAGGTAATTACGACTTTTTATCTCACAATTCTGACTTTATAACACGCAATTGGGAGATATAAAGTCAGAATTGTAAGATATAAACGTGCAATTCTGAGGAAAAACGTCAGTCTTTTTTTTGTGCTTTTTTTAGAATTGGACTTTATAACTCGCAATTGTGAGTTTATATCTCAGAATTCGGAGAAAATATGTCAGAATTGTGAGATATAAAGTCTCAATTGCGTGATATAAAGTCAGAATTGCATGTTTATTTTCGCAATTCTGACTTTATAACACGCAACTGCGAGTTGTTTTATTCTGTGGCGGAAACAAGCTTCCATACTGTACATCACAAACAGTGTACATTTTGAAATATTTTTTTTTAAAACATTTTCCAAAATATATAAAAAATATTTATTTAATATATAAATTATAGAATATTTAGAATATAAATATAATTATAAATGATATAAAATATAATTACATTTTATATTATTAAGTTCTTTAAGTTCATCCTATCTTATGTGGTCTCTCTCCAGGTGCCCCTCAGATTTCTGAACACTGAACAGGACTCCACTCGAGTTAGTTTGGGGGCAGTAGAGTCCGAGTGGAGGGGCTGTTCAGCAGTCCGAAACACTGGGGAGGATTACGCTAATGGAAGGAGCCGCAGAGTTTGGTCACGTGATCCGTGCTGAGAGCTCTCCAGCTGTACTATGTCAGGCGGCGGTCGCCATCTCCAGCGCCTGACTCTATCTATTACCCTCTCATTACTGTGCCCAGCACCACGTGAATATCAACCATCAGAGTTTGAGCTTCAGCTCTGCTTAACATGTACTTGTGAGGAGATGAAGGAATACTAGTGCTGTTTAGCAAGAGATCTTTCATAACCGCTCATGCACTGACTGGACGAGAGAAGTCATTAATCACTGCATCTATCAGAGATATTATCTGGTTAAATGTCAAATCGGCCAATAATTCACGATATGCTGTTGCGCTATATTAAACAGTGAGAGATTGATTCTTTGTCTAGCACTTGGCAGAGATCTAATGGTAAGGGAGTGAAGCGGTGTAATGAGTGTCTGCAGAAGAAACCCGCCATGAATTCAGTTAAGAGTGTGTGATTTTTGTGACTTTATAGCCTGTATGTAATGGGATTTACAACCTTTTTTACTTTTGTAATGTGACATTTCAGAGCAAAACAAGATATTCAATGAGTAAAAGCTAAAAGCTGGGTTATAGGCATTACATCAGCTTAAAACAATTCCTAAAAATAATATAAAAACCCATTTTACTGCAGAAATGCAGGTATTTACATATTTACGAGTGAAATAGGATATTAAACACATTAAAATACATACCTGACCGGGGACCACATTTCTGGAGAAGAGTTTGTTGAGCTGAACAAGTTCATTGGGAGTGGTGTCAAACTTCAGCGAAATGCTGTTTAGAGTATCCCGCGACTCCACCTGCACAACAAATGTACAAAACACGTAAAAACAAGGAAAAAGGAGAAGAGAAAACCATTTCTTTGGGTTCCTTTAGGTCTACATAAGGTGGATGTCCTACGCTACCATTCAAACGTTAGGGGTTGGTATTGTCTCTTATGTAAAAAATTATTTTCTATTTGAATATATTTAACAATTCCTGTGATGCAAAGCTGAATTTTCAGCATCATTACTCCAGTTTTTAGTGTCACATGATCCTTCAGAAATCATTCTAAAATGCTGATTTGCTGCATTTATTATTATCAGTTATAAACACTTGTGCTGCTTATTATTTTTGTTCAAAACATTTTTTTTCAGGATTTTTTTGATAAATAGAAAGCTTAAAAATACAACGATTATTTGAGATAAAAATCTTTAAAAGTTTTTACTCTCACATTTGATCAATTAAAGGAGTAGTTCATTTTCAAATCGTTTTGCTTCAGAAGGCCTTTATTAACCCCCTGGAGCCATTCGGAGTACGTTTATGATGGATGATGCACGTTTTTGAGCTTTAATCTGTTGGTTGCAATCCACTGCCATTATAAAGCATGGGATGCCAGGATATTTTTTTTATATAACTCCGATTATATAACTGTATTCGTCTGAAAGAAGAAAGTCATATACACCTAATGGCTTGAGGGTGAGTAAATCATGGGCTAATTTTCATTTTTAAAGTGAACTAATCCTTTAAATGCGTCCTTGCTGAATTAAAGTATTCATTTCTTTCCTTAAAAACAAAAAAACCATACTGACCCCAAACCTTTGAAGGGTAGTGTAAAACTGTTATTAAAGGGATACTCCACCAGTTTTTCTTATTAAACTATGTTATTCCCTTAACTAAGACGAGTTGATACATACCTCTCTCGTCTCAGTGCGTGCACTATATCGCTCTGTATTGCCGCAAAACTATGTTAGCACTTAGCTTAGCCCATGCATTAAATATGGGCCTAGCAGAGAAGCGACCAAACACTTCCACGTTTTCCCTATGTAAACACAGTTACTCGAGTAGTGTAACTTGACCTGGGCTGGTGACACAAAATAAACCGTTGCGCTTTTCTAAGCGTTTAAAATTGATGACTATATTGTATGGCGGAATACCATAACAAGTGCTTTTGAGCAGTTCGACTTGGCGCAATAATATCTTCACTAGTGAAAAGTCCTCTTACCGGCTCCCGCTTCCTCTCCCCCGGCCCCTCCCTCTGACATTTCCGTCAATACAACCAACGTGACATGCGCCGGTAGTAGTAGTTCGAGCGGAGTTGACGAAGTAACAGGTTGTTGGAAGCTAGTTAGCATTCTAAACAGCACAGGCTCTCAATTTCGGTCGGCATCTGTTCGCAACAGTCACACTTGCACCACCAATTGCTGTTTGCCCGTGGTCTTTCGCCAGCTCCGGTCTGTTCTGGATCATATCTTTCTTTCCTCTCACGGTCCATAAGAGCTAATTCCTCCTCCGTGTACTCGGGTTCAAACAGATATGGCTCTGGGTCTTCTACAAATAAGTCATAATCATCTACAAAGTCCGCCATTGCAAATGATCTGCAGTTTGCTAATAGCACAGGTAGTAAAAGCCACGTTGGTTGTATTGACGGAAATGTCAGAGGGAGGGGGAGAGGAAGCGGGAGCCGGTAAGAGGACTTTTCACTAGTGAAGATATTATTGCGCCAAGTCGAACTGCTCAAAAGCACTTGTTATGGTATTCCGCCATACAATATAGTCATCAATTTTAAACGCTTAGAAAAGCGCAACGGTTTATTTTGTGTCACCAGCCCAGGTCAAGTTACACTACTCGAGTAACTGTGTTTACATAGGGAAAACGTGGAAGTGTTTGGTCGCTTCTCTGCTTGGCCCATATTTAATGCATGGGCTAAGCTAAGTGCTAACATAGTTTTGCGGCAATACAGAGCGATATAGTGCACGCACTGAGACGAGAGAGGTATGTATCAACTCGTCTTAGTTAAGGGAATAACATAGTTTAATAAGAAAAACTGGTGGAGTATCCCTTTAATTTCTAGTCCAATTTGATCCGATTCTGATCCAGTTTGTGCTACTCCACATTATGCACATGTCCAACCATCAACTATGAGTGAGAGATTTAATGAATGATCATTTTAACTAACTTTATTCTAAACACTAGCCTGACTTCGTCATACTCATATTCTAGTCAGAATGTGAGTCTGATACTGCTCCATAGGGCTTTGATTATGAGGCGTGTCTTAACCGAACCAGGAAGAAAAAAAAACTCTGCACTCAATTGGATAGACCTACAACCAATCAGAGCAACGCAGTGTTTTTTTTTATGAGCTACGCAAAGTTGATTTTTATACGCAACAGAACTCAACTACACGCACACTGGAAGTAGTAAAATAATGAGTGTTGCCTCTTTTACTTGGTCCTCCATGAGTGCGACCAAAGGAGAAACCACAACGACCACAGGGTTTTCATTGCATCCCATCTTCTTAGCGACCATCGGAGCCAGCTGATAAAATAAACTATTGCCGAATCCCGTGGGAAGGACGGCAAACACATCTTTCCGATCGACAAATGCCTTGATTCCAGTTCTCGGTTCGTCTTTTAAAATGAATGCGCTGTCGATTTCTTTTACAACAGACGCGATAGCGGAATCTCTACATCTCAGTTCTCCAGCTGCAGTCATCTTTGAGGGAAACCAGTTCAACCCAAGCGCTCTTTGATAACGTGATGATTACGTAGCTAACTGCAGATCTTCGCATCCATCATCGTATAAAGCCCGCCCTGGCAATTTGATTGGCCCGACGATTTCTGAACCGATCATAATTACTCCTCAATGGATCGAGTCCAGACCGAACTTCCTGACCAAAAAATGTTTTGGGCGGGGTTCGGGCTGGAATCCAAACACCTACTACTACTATAGAATGTTAGCCAGCAGTCCACTATCCAGTAAAATAATAATAAATAAATAATTGAGGTCAAGGTCAGTGAATAGCAAGCAAAAAAAGATAAAGAATTTCTTTTGTGTTTGACATTGGAACAAAGTGAGAGGACAAAACCCTAGCAGCAAGAGAAATGTTGCATGGTGTGAACACATTCTTCCCCTTTTGCACATATTGTGTAGAACTTATTGCTGCATGATCAATTCTACAGAGCACTGGCATGCTAAATATCTCTCACTCGCCATATATCCAGATTACAGTCCTCTAAACATCTGAGCTTAGGACAGTACAGATGACCATTACATTGTTGATAATATCTTAATGTAAATGATTCTATAGTTCTGAGACGGTCTGTTTGCTACAGTATATTAGGAGTTTCTCATGTGAGGAGGACAGTGAGATGAATCAGATCAAGGAGACACAACACAACACACTACAGAATGTGGCCTGCAGGGAAATGTATATTGAAGCTATACATTAAAAAAAGAAAAGCCATTCAGGTTTGGAACAACTTGAGGGTGAGTAAATAATGACAGAGTTTGTTGGTAAACTATCCCTTTAACCACTTCCTAATAAACAAAGACCAATGCACACCATGTTTTGCCTCACATTAAATCACATGCCTCATTTTTCCCCCATAATCTTGCAGCATGAATGCTGTGTTTTTGCGAAACCCCATTAAGTTAACAGTAGTTCCAACTTTGAAAAACATGCCTCAAGATCCTTTGAACGTGTTCTGTGTGCACAGGCCGTAAGAGGACAATCCAAAAAAGCAAACAAAAACAAAACATAAATAAATAAACTTGCATTTTTATAACTGAACTGGTCCCCCAACATCAAAAACGACAAAAAGCGTCAGCATATCCAATGCCATTTCTACTCTGAATCAGACTTCTGTGAGTTATTTTTCTTAGAGAACGATAAAGAACCCCCCCCCCCCAAGTTTTCTGGTCGTCTCCAGATGGGAACGTCAGTAGTCGATATTCCCAATGCCCCAGCGCTAGCGGCGTCCTTTCATCCCGTCTGTCTGGGCACAGTACATTGATTCCCTGCGAGAGGCATTTCAGACCGGCTCTTCCGTGGGCTATTTATTTGTAGCTGTTTCAGAGCAAACACAACCTGCCTTCACCGGACACTAATGCCTCTGTTAGATGGCGAATTTATGATTTGCTCCGCAGTTTAGACGTGCTCTATCCTTCGTGTTTTCTCTTCTCCTAATTCAATAGCAGGGAGTCCCGCTGAGGTCTGTCGTCCTCTTTCTAAAGGCAGCCGTGGATAAAAATATCACTTAATATCCAACACAAGCAGTGCCAGCGGAGATGTCAACCATTGCCAGTCGCTTCTATTTGGAAAAAAGACACATGCAGCTTAAAAGTCAACAAAACGGTCTAGACAAACTCAACATTTCCCAGACATGGGCGACAAGTTTCCTTCTGAGAGGCAGGAACTGTGAATGGATCAAATGAAAGTCAAATGCATTCTTGTTTAAAAAATTAGGATGCATTAAAGTTTGTATTCTGTATCTCTACAGCAGAATCAACAATAAAACTATTAACAATGTAAAGAAAATATCTGCTAAGAGAGAAGATGTACAGCTATTTAAAATACCAGAACGCATCAGTCTTCCAGGTTACTGACACATACGATTATCAAGGTTAATAATTCTTCTGACAAATAGAATTCTTTACCATAACTATACGCTGTTGTTTAGCCACTTGGCACTTTAATAGAATCTGCAAGCAGAGGCACATTTTACAATGTCTTCAAACGCGACTCATGCATTCTGAATTTAGAGTCAAAGACCTCTTAGGTCATTAGGATCAAGACTAGTTATGTCTAGGGTTGGTTCCAAACCCCATGAGACAGTGTTTAGCTAGCTACTACACACGCCACCCTACAGCTGGGAGCAGCTCCCACAAGTTCTCACACGCGTCTCATCAGCAGTCATATTCAAGCCCAAACTTAAAACACATCATTTGTGTGTATTATTTAATTATTATAGTAATTTATTTTTACGGCATTATTTCTCTCCTAATTTCACTGATTTGTATATCTTCTATGGTAGCTCGG